GTCCGGTTGATCGGTTTCCAGATTCACCGTGGTGAAACCTAAGGTGTGGTGCGATTAGTTAGAAGGGGTTATGCGAAGGGTCCTGTCACGTCCTCTTTCCAGTATGTCGTGGTGGCATGTCGGCGCACGGAAACATGTCGTGGGGCTGTGTCTTGTGGGTACAGTTGTACACCTCTGATCAGAGTAAAACTATTCGAATAGCCGTGCCCGCGGTTATGGGCGGTCAACCAGATTCACCGTGATTAGTCTCACCCCTAGCTAGTTATTGGAACTGGTTAGTTCAGGTGGTGGTTTGGGCATGTCTCAACGTGGTGTAGCGCTGAGCAGTGATTGGTTAATATTGATTAATTACCACAACTGTTTTACTGCTTTCAACTACTGCTTTTAAATGCCTGCTTTATGTAAATGAAGCTCTAGCCTATTTCGGTTATATCCTGCATCATACCCTCCTCTTCTGGTATGACCTGCTGAGTACAGTGGGTAGTACTCAGTCTTGCTCTCTCTTCCCCACACCGGAGCTGAAGTTCTTCCCAGTTGGAGCTGCTTCGAAGAAGTTGGTTTCGTCGCTGCCATCGAAGATGCCTATGGAATGGAGTCGCCTCACTGCAGGAGTCAAGTCTTCAGGCTTAGCTCGCTTTTATCTTTTCTGCTGCATTTGTAATCTTTTATATTTTTGTAAAACGTGGATCTGTATGTCAACAATTGTCGTCTGTGTACCCTGGCTGGTCCTGGACATGGGTTTAATGCACATTCAGCTTAGAAATTCTGGTTCTTGAATTTTTGGGCGTGACAAGGTGGGATTTAGAAAAACTAGGATTTAGTTAATATACTGCTCCACCTTAATGGGTCAAATGGGCCTTAAAATATCTACTTTTGCACTGGTAATTCATAACCTCGGGGCACTATGGGTTATCCACAGGTAAAAATTTCTATTGGCCCTGGCCCTGTCGGATCGGGTACGCATTGGGGTCCCGGCTCCAACTAGAAATTAGCAACCCTCGATTGCCATCGTTGTATTCATTGGTCGGAAAAAGTACACCGAAGGTCAATCAACTAGTTATCGAATTACAAAATCGTCCCCCAACCACAAAACCAGATACAACGCATCCCCTAACTTACAAAACCATTGCAAACTAGGTCCCTTGGCGGTTTTGACTCCGGTTTGGACCGACGTGGCAGCTGACTCAGTGTGGGACCCACATGGGTCCCACATGCCAGCCTCTACTTCCCCTCCTCTCTCCGCCTCTCTTCCTATCTCCTCCCCTTTCCATGTCAGCCTCTCTTTCCCCTCATCTCTCTTCCTCCTCTCTCTCTCACTCATCTCCCTGGGCAGGTAGGCCGGCGGTGGGGAGGAGGTCGCCAGGACGAGGAGGTCCGACGGCTCGCGGCGATGCGGCGGCGGCGACACGGGAGAAGGGGGGGGAGGCGATGGCGGGAGCACGGGGGAGATCAAAGAGGACAAGCTCAAGCATGGCGGCGGGCGGAGTGGGGCGACGGCAAGGCGGAGCGGAGTGGGGCGGTGGCGGACGACGACGATGGCGGCCCGCGCGCGCAATTCCTCCCCCGCCGCTCGCCGGCCCGCACGCGAGGAACTCACCAGGAGATGATCGGCGGTGAGGCTCGGCCGGATGCAGCTTGAGCAGTTCCTCCACTGCCAGCGCTGCCTAGTTCCTCCCCCGCCGGCTCCCAACTCCTCCACCGCTGCCTAGTTCTTCTGCGCCGGTGCCGCCCAGCTCCTCCCCCGCCGGCGCCGTCCAGTTCCTCCCCTGCCACCGGCGCCGCCCAGCTCCTCCACGCCAGCCGTCCGCCGCGCCCACAGTACTCGTCGCCCTTGGAAAGGGGAGGAGAGAGGAAGAGAGGTGTAGAGGTGAGGGGAAGTAGAGTCTGACATGTGGGACCCACATGGGTCCCATGCTGAGTCGGCTGCCACGTCGGTCAAAACCGGAGTCAAAACCGTTGAGGGACCTAGTTTGCACTGGTTTTGTAAGTTAGGGGATGCATTGTATCCGGTTTTACTGTTGAGGGACGATGTTGTAATTCGATGACAAGTTGGGGGACCTTCGGTGTGTACTTTTTCCTTCCTTGGTCTGGCAGGGGCGCGAGTTGGGCCGTTCTGCCACTCCGGCCCAGTCCCATTCCCGTTTGGATCCGGTAAGATACTGATACTGTGATACATGGGAACGGGATATGTATTTATGTATTTTCAGTGCAAATAAATATGATCCATCTATTTACAAATGGACGCTGCATTAGGATATACAGTCAAATCTTAAAAGTATTAATCACTAATATGTGTAAAAAACAGTATGGTCTGATATCTGAAAATGATATTAGCTTATCTAATGATTTTTTTTTCCAGGAAACATTAGGGGAATCCCTACGATATAACTATATCAAAAGATGGTTTATACGTGCATGGGGAAAGAAAAACAAAGTCCTCTCAGGGCGGTAAATATGTTGCTAACAATTTATCCATGAGGAAATGTAGAATTAATTCTTCTTTGAAATAAGATTTCCAACCCTGAATAATGAAGAAACTTGCTAAACCATTAAGCCATTTCTCTGCTTTCCATATTCCCCAAGCAGCAGGTCTTTCGGCTAGCTCCACAAGGTGGTGGGCTAGACGACCTGCGTTCAAAGCCCCACCCCTTCTAATTATTTGATATTAGGTCCTTCCCTAATATTCGAGAAAAAGCAACAAAAATTTCCATGAAGAACTTGTTTCCTCCTATGGTATAAATAACCATCTTTGTAGTTGAATTAATCGGTGAAGCTCAACGTTGTAAGACCAGTTAAAACAAAATGAAAGATCAGCAGCACTAAATGGATAGTTGATGAAGAAATCTTCTATGGTTTCCCTCGGTGCTATATTACAAAGAGAGCATCTCAAATCTATACTTAAGTAAATATACTCGTAACCGTGCTTGACACTAAACCCCAATGTCTTAGCGCGAAGGTTGACAGTCCTTAAGCTTGGTGCCATACTTGTGAGTACTCCCTCCGTTTCACAATGTAAGTCATTCTAGCATTTCCCACATTCATATTGATGCTAATAAATTTAGGACATATATATCTATCTAGATTCATTAACATCACTATAAATATGGGAAATGCTAGAATGACTTACATTGTGAAACGGAGAAAGTATAAGCTAACTCAACAATCTTAGCATTGAGCCCCTAAGGTACCAACTAATACTCTTTAATAACACCCGATACCCATCAGTGCTAGACCTGGTACCCATCAATATCAGCCAATACCAAGCAGGTATTGGATCTTCATTAGCAAAGCAAATCTTTAGTCAATTCAACCAAACCACTCACCGAACACCAAACCCTCGCTGCCGCCACTGCTGAGGAGGATCTTGACACTAGCACCATCACAGCGCCAGGGAAATAAGGGAGGACAGCTACTCCACGGTTCTACTCTTGGCCCTGGTGGTCTTCGGGCACCGCCTAGACCCACACCACCATGGACTGAATCGGTGGCGTTAGGAAGCATAAGATCCACTCCTCAATCAAGATGGTGGTGGTGGTGGTCGTGATGGAGAATTGCAGTTTTGACAACATCCTAGGATGCCTCAACCATAGATGCCCTGACATTGACGGCCTCAACGACACCTAATCCAACCACCTCAACACTTCTAACCCTTCCTCCCCGAAGATCTTCGTCACGACGAGGCTAACTATGACGACTTTAACCCTGGCCACAACTTCTAGGATATCCACGACTAGATCTTTAGTTTTGTCGACACCTCTGTCATGCCAGTCCTTATATTTGACTTTGCCCAGAATGCCCGCGTGATAGTCCACTGCATGTTGCAGAACATCATGACTAACTTCAAGCCCGAGTTCATGCCAGTATGCGACGCCTTGTCATTGAGTTACCCATGTTCGACTAGTGGTTTGTCTCCCAAGAGCACACGACATTGATGAGCATGGGGGTGTGCTTGACTGGAAAGCGCGCGAGCTAGGCACCTTATGAGGTGGAAGAGGTAGGGGATTGGACGGGATCCTGTCCTTGCCATCTCGGATGGGATCCCGATAATTGGCATTTCCCTATATTTTATGGCATGTTTAGCACAATTCTACCTCCAACTCCACCTCTTCTAGAGTTGATATTCAGCCAAACAGTTTCAGCTCAACTTAAAATAGGAGTAGAGTTAGGTGGAACACTCTTACAATAATGAACTAGAGATATAAAGCTGAGTTTATACTGCTTCATAACTCTACTCCAGATCTGATTCATGGAGTTAAATTTATAAGTTAGAGCTCGATCAAACGGGTCCTTAGGGCCTGTTTGGCATAGCTCCAGCTCTAGCTCCACCTATCCTAGAGCTGGAGCTCAGCTAAACAACCTAAAATGGGAGCAGAGCTAGGTGGAGTTGGGTTTAGACAGCTCTACAACTCCACTCTAGACCCAACTCCTGAAGCTAAATTTAGGAGTTAGAGCTCTACTAAACTAACCCTTAGTGTCAAAATTGACCTAATACATGTTTACAAGAGAGGACGGCCCAATCCTAGATCTATAGATGGTCATAAGGCCCGAGGCCTGACGGCACGGCCCATGGTGCGACCATTTGGCTCGGCCCAAGCATGGCACGACACGATTGGTGTCGGGCCAGTGCCAGCTCGGGCCAACAGTTGGGCCGTGCCTAGGCCGATGTCTTGGCATAGTGGCCGGCCGGCACGGCTTGGAAGATAAATAGTTGAAGGGTCCAAATTAGACTTAAGTAGTCATATAAAGGCATGACCCAAGGAAAAGAGGGATATAATATAGACTTATTCCAGCCATATAAAACACAACCCAAAGAGATGAGGATGCAAAAATAGACTATCGTGCTTTCGGGCTAACCCAGCATGACCCGAGTCTTTTCGGCCGTGCCGGCCCGACTAAACTCGACCTAGGCCCAGTTATACCTGGGCCGTGCCGGGCGGCCTATTTGGCTATCCGATATGGATTGATTTATAAAATTAGTATCATCAAAGGCGTAAAACGTAAAAAAACCGGTTAGTTTTTTTTCCTCATCCCTGCCGCCGTCTCCTCGCCTCCGCCGAGAACTCGCGGCTGCCCTTGCCAGCTCACTTCCTCCACCGGCGGCTCCCCCCTCGCGGCGCCCATCGCCCCCATCGCCGCCGCACGGCCACGCCTCGCGTCGTCATAGTCGTCTTCCTCGATCAATCCGCTCCGCTCCGTCTTCCTTCGATCCATAGGATTCGGTAGGGTTCTCTTCTCTTCCCCCCTTACAATTTTTCTAGGGTTTCTACGAATCCATCTGCTCGATTTCATTAGTTCGTGTTGTTTTACTCCCCCCCCCCCTCGCAGATAGCAATTGGCGAAGATGCTGGGCGGATTGTACGGCGACCTCCCGCCGCCGTCGTCCTCCGCCGACGATGACAAGCCCTCCGCCGCCGGCTGGTCCAGCGCCGCCAAGATGGCGCCCCCCACCCTCCGCAAGCCCCCCGCCACCTTCGCCCCACCCCCCTCCGTCCTCCGAAACTCCCGCCCCGCCCCCAAGGCCCCCGCCGCACAACCGCCTCCGCCGCCGACCCTCCCCATCGAAACCACCACCTCCACCTCCTTCCAGCCTGCCCTTGTCGCCGTCCAGTCCACCGTGATGGAGGAGTACGACCCGGCCAGGCCCAACGACTACGAGGACTACAGGAAGGACAAGCTCAAGAGGGCCAAGGAGGCCGAGGTCAGGAAGGAGCTCGAGCGGCGGCGGCGCGAGGAGGAGGAGAGGGAGAGGGAGCGTGAGCTCAGAGAGAGGGAGGGCCGCGACGCCCTGAACATATCCGGCGAGGAGGCCTGGAAGAGGAGGGCCGCAATGAGCGGCTCTGCCGCGCCGAGGCCGTCCTCCTCTCCTCCCCATGGAGACGGCTTCGCTATTGGGAACTCGTCTTCCTCTGGGCTGGGCCTTGGCGCCGGCGGACAGATGACCGCCGCGCAGAGAATGATGGCCAGGATGGGGTGGAAGGAAGGCCAGGGGCTCGGCAAGCAAGAACAGGGAATCACCGCGCCTCTAGTGGCTAAAAAGACTGATAGGAGAGGAGGAGTAATTGTGGACGAAAACAGCTCCAAGCAAGAAAAGAAGCCAAAATCTGTCAACTTTGATGGCCCTCCGACACGAGTTCTGCTCCTCCGTAATATGGTGAATACTTCTACATGACTTCTTTATATTATAAGAGCTCTGCATCTATCAGAGGTTGCATTTGGTCAGGGTGTGTGGTTTTTGCACGCATAATGAACTTGCAATGCATGGGTAATCTTTTCCAACAATTTGGATTGCAAAATATATGTTTGGCTTATTTATATGCTCGGAACTATATGCACACATCTAAATACAAAGTCCGGATTGGCTAGTTTGGATGCCAGCTTTCCTACTAATACCTTGTGCCACTGTTATTGTTCCTTATTGTGCAGACAGCAGGTAGTCTAGGATATATTCATCCTTCTGCATATATATGACTTAATATATTGTCTCCTTGACAATAGTGTAATGTGGTGTTAACTGCAGCTAAATTTAGTTGTCTTGGCATCATAATTGGCTTCATAAGTGCTGATGCTTTGTGTTCTTTTGTTTATATCAGAATGCTTATGTAGTGCATATATAGGTATCAGGGGGGAGAGGGGGGGGGGGGGACTTGCTGCCTGTTTTGGTTGATCGAGCTGTAGCCTGATTTCCCCCTTTGACAATAGACCACATGAGTGCAAAATTATCCCTACTGTGTAGTCAGCAGGTAGTCTAGGATGAACATCAAACTTACTTCCAGATTGGGTAGTTCAGCAGGCAGCCACCTTTGCTCCTGCCTGTGTGCCACTCTTATCCCTACAGTGTAGTCAGCAGGTAGTGTAGGATGTCTTCATCCTTTCTGCATATGACCCTTGCGTATTGTTTCTTTCACAATAGTGTAATGTGATGTTACCAATTGCTAGCTAAATGTAATTGTATAGGTGCCATAATTGGCTTCTTAAGTGCGATTGTTTTGATTTTTTTTGTTTATATCAGAATATTTAGCTAGTGCATATATAGATGTCATACTATATCAGGGCGAACTTGTTGCCTGTTTTAGTTGGTTGAGCTATATTGCTTGATTTGTTTCCCCTGACAATAGAGCACATGACTACAACATGAGTAATTCATGAAGAATAAACGTAGAACTTATTTCAGCTAGGATAATCAAGAATGAACATTGTTACTGTAATTTTACAAACAAACTTGCACGATGGATGTTTTCTTCTCTGCCCTGTCCTCTCCCTTGGTCCAGGAAGAGACCGCATCCCTTTCCTTCGGTAAACCAGATCTGCAGTTCAGAACTTAGGATAAACAAGATAATGCAGTCTAGTTTTAACTGCATAGTATGTTTTTTGGGGTCCACTGTCTTCCAAATCCAACCATATTTAGCATAGCCTGTTTGTCCAAACTAATTGTAAGTGTAGTTCTATTCAAGGAGCACCGCGATTTGTGATCGGTAAATTTAAGTAGTCATTGCTGTAAACATGGTTTACATGATAAAGTTGGTACTAGTACAACTTTACTAGTCTTGACATGGCGTGTGCTACATATTCAAAAAGAGTAAATTTCATAAAACTACATATAATTTGCACGATCTATCACAAAACTATAGATTTAAGAACTTGTTTCACAAAACTATAGATTCAGTGTCTTCGTTTATCACAAAACTACATATACTTTGCACAATATATCACAAAACTACAGATTTAAGAACTTGTTTCACAGAACTATAGATTTAATATCTTTATTTATCACAAAACTACAAGTTTAGTGTCTTCATTATCACAAATCTACAGGTTTTAGCATTGTTAAAAAATGTAGTTTTATGATAATGGAGACACTAAATATATAGTTTTGTGATAAATGAAGACACTAAATGTGTAGTTCTGTGTTAAATGAATACACTAAATCTATAGTTTTGTGAAACAAATTCTTAAATCTGTAGTTTTGTGATATATTATACAAAATACCTGTAGTTTTGTGATAAACGGAGCACTGAATTTGTAGTTTTATGAAACAAGCTCTTAAATCTGTAGTTTTGTGATAAATTATGCAAAATACCTGTAGTTTTGTGAAATTTACTCGAAAATAATTGATCAAACATATTTGAGCAATTTGATCCTATTTAATATTGTTTAAATCTGATTAACCTGATGATGAAATGTTTTGTTTGTGCTTACTCTCGGACTCTCCACTATCCTGACATTGTGTAGCTTGGGCCATTATGTCTGGAATGGAGGAATGATATCCTTAAACCTGAATAGTGTGCTGCAAGTTGTTTAGTAGATCATCCGCTTCTAGAAGAAATAGCAAAATGCAGTGCATGACTGTGAAACATGTGCAGGTTGGTCCAGGTGAGGTTGATGATGAGCTGGAGGAAGAAGTGGCCTCAGAGTGTAGCAAGTACGGGACGGTGTTGCGCGTGCTGATATTTGAGATCACTCAGGCGGACTTCCCCGCCGAAGAGGCCGTGAGGATCTTCATACTGTTTGAGAGGGCGGAAGAAGCAACCAAGGCGATGATTGATCTGGAAGGGCGCTTCTTTGGCGGGCGGGTGGTGCGTGCCACTTTCTTTGATGAGGAGAGGTTTGGGAAGAACCAGCTTGCCCCCATGCCAGGTGAAGTTGCCGGCTTCGACTAGGCTGACAATTTTATGCAGCGGTAGCAAATGGAGATGTAATCTTACGCTGGACTAATATGCAGTTTTTCTTTTTTTTTTTCTTTTGCCGTAGATTGTTATGCGGTTGTTGCATTACTGTGCTGCAACTAGACTAGAGCATATGCATGATGGTCCATTGTAATATTTAGATGTTTTTACCTGTGTGTGCTTGTTTCGAATGGCATAGCGTAACACGTGAAGCTTCAGTTTTTCACCCTTTCTCAAGCTTGTGCTGTCTTGTTGACGTTCTGGGCCGTGCCGCGCCGCTGGTGCCGTCGGTAACTCGGTATGCATTGGCCTTTGCCCACTAACAGCCTGTCGCATTGCATCAATGCTTGAAGCCTGGCCTAGACATCCATAGGAACATAAAAATCGTGACCTCCTATATCACAAGTGACGAACATATAGTGTTATTTACCTGTCGAATTCATTCTTCACTGTGTTCTCCATTAGTCTCATCTTCAATTTCTTGACCAAACCAAAGCGAACTAGTACGAGACCATTCTCTGTATAGTTATAACCAGCTACCTCAATTTTTATATCTAGTTGCTACTAGTATACTTAAAAGTTCATGTTTTTTTTCTTCTTATGGAATTTTCTCTTATATTACTCATCCGATTTATGATCCGATTACACAATTGTGTTCATAACAATTAAATCTTTATAACAAGATCTCACATGACTATATTTTGATGAAAAAAAACAAATTACTTTTATAATATATCTAAATTACTTTTAGATTACATTAAATTACTTCTTAATCATAAAGTAATTTAATAAAGCCTAAAAGTAATTTACCTATATTATATAAGTAACTTAAAAAAAGTAAAGTAACTTGTTACGATATTAAAATAAATCTATACATTCATAATGTTATTCATAATATTGTGAGTTGTTTATTTTATAATCATTTTTAGTCAGTGACGTAATTTGTGCTGATTAAATTTAATTTCTATATAGACTCATGTTTTTACCTTTATAACGGATTTACTTTTGATGTCGTGATAAAGTTACTTTCTTTTTGTTTTAAGTTACTTTTATAATTTATGTAAATTACTTTTAAACTTTACTAAATTTACTTTTATATGTCTAAGAAGTAATTTAGTGAAATCTAAAAGTAATTTAGATATATTATAAAAATAATTTATAATTTTTCATCAAAATATAATCATGTAAGATCTTGTTATAAAGATTTAATTGTTACGAACACAACGGCGTAATCGGATCATAGATTAGATAAATAGTTTAAGAGAAAATTTAATTTAAAGTATAAGTGATTCCTATTTGCTTGAGACATAGAGGATAAACTACTCTCTAGCCTAACAAAGTGCGTCATATAGCTTCCGATTCGGTCTGTTTTGGCCTTCTTGACAATATTAGCATGTGGAACAGACGACTACACTAGCGTGTGGGATCGGACGGCCCTAGATGCGTCGCGTGATAAGACCAGATCGAGAGGCCTCTCGAGATAGATTTTACGATTTCCTTGGCTCCAAAACCTAAAACTAAGCACATGCTCTCCTAAAAAACATTGCACTTGCTGCTGCTACTACTGCTCTTGGGCTCCTTTGAAACACAAGAGTAAATACTACATTGTAAAATATAAGTTTAAAAACATAGAAAACATAGGATTTTAATGAAATGTAAGTTGAAAACAAAAATATAAAATATAGGAATGATCATTTGATTGGACCGAAAAAAAAATAAATTGAATAGGAGATGGACTTGTAGTTAACTTTTGATAAGATTGAGATGGAATTTCATAGGATTCAATAGTTTTCAGTTCTATATATTTCAAAAAGGACCATCCAGGGAAAAATGGATTATAACCGTTCAAAAATTTCAATGTTTTTTCCTTCCAATCAAAGTTTTTTTTCTCGCTGCGCTGGACGCATGGTGTGCTGTTGGGCCGAACTGGGCCCGCACGGCGTAGGCTAAGGCAAGATGCGAACTGGGCCGTCGGATGCAATGGTCACCTGATACGAAGTGAAACCACACCACACCACCGTCGGAGGATTCCTGTCCCTGCCCACGCCGCCGCCTTCGCCGCCGTCCGCCGCCCCCGCCGCTGCCCCAGTGGAGATGGCGCCTGGCACCACCCTCGCCCCCAAGCGCCGCAAGGCAGAGGCGTCCCCTTCCCCTTCCCCTTCCCCTATGGGGGATTCTTCCGACGGCGGCTACAGCGACTCCGACCTCCACGACGCCGAGGAAAGCTTCTACTCCGCGAGGAGCGGCTCCGAGGACGACCGCCAAGTTTCCTCCAGCGTAAAGCTCGATCTCTCTCGTCCTCCTATCCCCCCCTTCTCTCTCTCTGTGTTTGCTCCAATCTTTTGAGCTTCAATCGTCTGCCTGTGCTTGTCCCTGGTCATCAGAACGACGACGACGATAGCGAGGAGGAGGAGCAAGAGGAGCGGGAGATGGATGAGGAGGAGGACGAAGAGGATGATGATGATGAGGAGATGAATGAGGAGGATGACGAGGATGAGGGGGAGGAGATGAACGAGCTCGAGAAGGAGTACCGCACGCTCCAGACCAATCAACAGTAAATTACCCCCCTTCCCTTGTATACTTTTGTGCTGTTCTGCCTGTTCTAACTGAAAGAGAACTTGTAAACCGAAATAAAATCTTGTAGAAATATTTTGGAGACATTGAAACAGCACAGAGATGACGATGTTTCGAAGGGCCAGGCGGTCAAAAATCAAAAGGTACCAACACCCACTTAGCTCTGATCACCAATCGCTGACTCATATTCATGTTTATACGCTGCTCTCCTTAGATTTGCTCGCATTCCATAATTTGATCTATCTTTGAACTCCAAAGGTGTTGTGGGACAAGGCACTCGAGATGAGATTCTTGCTGCAAAAGGCATTTTCCACTTCAAACAAGTTGCCCAAGGTTTATCTCTTTATCTGTTGCAACAAACTTCTTTCTTGCTTTATCTTCATTGTTTTGTTTTTCCTTCCAAAGAATGCGGGGTTGTAGATCGCATTTCAAATTGATCCTTTGTTGTGTTACTGCAGGAACCCATCAGGTCGATGTTTTGTGATCACAATCAGGAGATAGAGCAAGCTTATCTTGATCTGTTGAATTCATCGAAGCAGACTCTTGGTTCCATGATGGAGCTTCAGGAGGTTTGATCGATTGCTTTTGTTTTTGCAGTTTAATGCAATGTTGTTGTACGGTATAGTTACCCAAGGTTTTTTCTAATGTACAATAACACTTTGAAAACAACCGGCAGGCCTTGCTGGAGAGGAATCGTGCTACAAAGGATGTAACTGATACTGGTACCATTCATGTTCTTTCTGGTTCTAGCATAAAATTGTTTGGAGTACCTTTGTACTGTATATATGCTAATTAATCCATGACTAAATGACAGATAATTCTTCAGAGTTGAATGGAGAGGATGATGAGTGGTCAGAAGTTCAGAAATTGCAGAAAAGGTATGTTTTGCGTCTTTGTTTTAGCTGTAACCATAATGAGAAGTATTGTGAGATGTTATGCCTTAAATCTGTTATGATATATTATATGGTATTACAGCTTTATCTATTGAAACTGTCCTGTTCTACACCTGTATGTTTGCTACATGGTGGTATTTTTTTTTCATATGCTTCAAATGGATCAGCAGAATTCTTCTCTAGACCATTGTGGATTAATGGATGATCTCATATAAGGTGCTTAGATTTAGGTAGTGTTCTATAGGGATTCATTCATTCATACAGTACGTCTTGGTTTTATCCTCTCGGCATGTTTGGACCACTTATCACTGTTAATCGGTGAATTTTACATTGTGTTACAAATTTCGAAGAAAGGAAAAGGAAATTGTTTCTGCCACATAGCATCAACTGTTTGCAAACTTATGGGGTACCTAACATAAATAAAGGTATTGTAAATTAATAATATAACTATGACTGATCCTATGGATGCACAAAATAATATGAGGGCTCTAATTTTTTTTTGGGTGGTGTGTGTGTGCGCGCGCGCGCGTGGGTGGGGGATTGACGGAAACTGAGGCAGGCTTCTTTTCTTAACAGAACAAAAGAGGGGAGAGAGAGACTTGTACAGTGATATATTAATAATTTAACATCAACCTTTTTAATACAGGATAACTCCGTTCAGAAATAGTGAGATAGATAAATGGCAGAGGAAAACACAAGTGACAACCGGTGCTGCTGCATTGAAGGGAAAGTTGCATGCTTTTAATCAGGTTGCTTGAATTCCTATCTGACTATTTGTAATTAATTTCCTGTGAACATGACTAAATCTTTGCTTCTTTCCATTGTATGGTAACAGAATATAAGTGACCAAGTTACTAGTTACATGAGAGACCCAAGCAGGATGATTAACAGGATGCACTTGAGAAAATCTACCCTCGGTGTATTTGGGGAGGTAACTTGAGATGCATCTAGTACTATAAATGATCACTGGTCATGTTTCAGTACCTAATGATAAGTTTGTAACTATTGCTATATGTGTGCAGGAAGTGGGAGAGCATGAAAACAATAAGGAGGTTTGTACAATAATTTATTCTTCCCTTAACTCTAGTTCTAGCTTACTTGCTTCTCCTTTGAAGTATTCAAATGCTCTAATTGTATTGTACAGTAGGTCCTTTGTCCCCTTGTGATTAAAATTCCTGTTACTATATTTTAGCTTTAAATCATTGATCATAATGATTAACAATGGTATTATTGTTATTCCTGGTCTCATGTGTTCTTGATGTCAACCTAGGAGAACAATACGGAAGGTGATCCTGAACTTGTTGACGATTCTGAATTTTACCAACAACTTCTAAAGGAGTTTCTTGAGTCATGTGATGCAGGCGCATCTGGTTAGTTAAATCTTACCTGCTGCACTTCTGCAACATATTTCTTTGGAGAACTCTGCATGCTGCTCTGCACTAGTCACCTGAAGGGATTTTAGTAGCCTTGAATTCACAGGCTACCTCTTGTAGTTGCCTTCTACTCAGTGAACAATATTTCACTAATCATTCTAAGGATCTAGTATCTTTCTCTTTGAACACTGGAGCATCTATCAAGTGTTCTTCTACATTTGCAGAGTCAGCATTTTATGCTCTAAAGAAGCAGCAGCATAAAAAGAGAAAACTGGTTGATCGTCGTGCTTCGAAGAGCAGAAAGATAAGGTACAGTATAGGTTTCCTTCTCTCTCTTTTTTTTCTTTGCGGGGAAGTATTGGTTTCCCTTGCTCTGTCCGTCAATATCTATTTGTGTTAACTTGTTTACTGTTATGTGGTTTATTCAGATACCATGTCCACGAGAAGATTGCAAATTTCATGGCCCCAGTACCCATGGTTATTCCTCCAATGGCTCCAAAATTGTTTGAGAATTTGTTTGGGATGGGAAACCAAAAGTCGACCACAGCGTGAATGCTTGACGATGATACTGCAATGTTGACATTAGGACGTATAACCCTTTCTTGACTTATAAAGGCCAGTCGTGTCTCGTAAAGATTCTGATTTGATCAAATTCGATGGTATCCGTGTTGGACTGGGGAACTGCATTTCGATTCATACTCATATTTGTTTAGCAATCTGGTTCTTAACTGACGAGTAGTTATTAAGAGGGATCTCTATGAAAGAATTTGGAGGATAATTTAGATTATCAGAATTTGGAGGATAATTTAGATTATCAGTTGAGGTCGTTTCATAGTTTGTATGTTTTTCTCTTAAGAATAGAGCACCAATTAATTCTTGTGATGTCTTGTAGCGAGTAATCTTGGATTTGATCATTAAAGATAGATCATGAATTTGAAATGTATCTTCTGAAAAATATTACTCCCTCTGTCCTAGGTAGATCATGAATTTGAAATGTATCTTTTGAAAAATATTACTCCCTCGGTCCCTTTTTATAAAGGCATACATTTTTTTCTTCTCAACTACCAAGGCGTGAGCGTGCACTAGGATTTCTTCCTGATATGCACCTAAGATTTCTTGCCATGCAGAATTAATACCGTTGGGTCTCTGCTAAGGGTGCCCATGCAGGTTCTTTAACGGGTTCGGATCCCCTAGAGTAGGCATCAACTCCACATGAATACATGATGGATTTCAGCAAATCTCAGCCATCATTTTATTCCTATGGTTGAGATCCTAATTAATTGACTCCCTTCACTGATGCAGATTTGGATCTTCCTTTTCAACTATTCTATTTCCAACATAATCAAGAAATTAAAATAAATGTAATCTTCTTCCCCCAATTAATTGACCAAGATAGAAGATTTTTTTAGTGTTGAGAAACATGATATTGTAGTATTGTAGATGGTGAACATGGGCAGGACCTAGCGATTGGTGCAGAAACTTGGCCAGCTCACTACAAGTAAAGCCATGTTCATACATCGCACCAAGCTCCTTGATGCTGCTGCACAGCTAGCAGTTATATCCGATCGTAGAGTCTTTGTTTATACATGTTTGATGAAGGTAAGATTAGAGGATGAAGGAACAAAATAAGGATAAATTGAGGTGTATTGATTTAATCTCAACCGTAGGTGACAAATAGCGGCTGAGATTAGCCCAAATCCATCAGGTGGAGTTGAAGCCAACTCTATGCCGTACAAATTGAGACGCAAGGGAAAATTTGTATGTGCCCTGTAAAATGGGATAGAGGGAGTAATTTCTAACTGACACGACCTAATTATTTCAGATATCATTGCCATATCCTTTATTTCTTTTACGGGTATTCGAGCTATCACTAAATTAGGTTTGGGCTTTTTCTTTTATAGAACTACTAAAATTACATTCTAGTTTATAAAAAGAAATAGAGAATACATTTTAGTTTATAAAAAACAGAGAATACTATGTCATTGATGTCTTGAGCCGAGGCTGTCGAAGTATGGTGGCGTGAAAGCACCAAACGCTCCCCCTTATTAGACATCTGCGATACATTTTTGTCATTGGAAGATTGCTCATAATCGGTCACCAGATCCCTACGTGAAAATCGGGTGCTCCATGCACCTGTCATTATTTGGTTCTGCCATGAAGTAATTTCTTTTCTGGTTACTTCTCTGCATACTTTTCTCCATATGTTACATTCTTGTGTATGTAATCACTTTTTAAACTATATTTTACTTTCAAATTACTTATAGGATTAATAATCCAATTGTATTATTTAATTCATTATAATTACATCTTAAAACAAGACCTTGTATGATTATTTTCTACTAGATAAATATATATAAATGTTTAAATTCAATGTTTCACATGTAAAAAAGCGATTGTTTCAACTAGTAGTAGAATTTAATCTTATTACACAATTTGGGGCCTGTTCAGATTGTAGCCAAAATAAACCTTACTAAGTTTTGGCAATGCCAAAATTTTGGCAAGATGGCAATATTGCCAAAATTTTAGCAGGATTTCTTATGTATTGATCAAATTTGGCAACAAACTAAATGTAGACTTTTTTTTGGCAACTTTGCCAAAAAATAGTATGGTTGAAAATGACATCAAAGTGAACAGACCCTTGAAGTGTTGTGTTGCAATGGATTCCTCATATGTTGTACATTGTGTTATTTGGGTGTTACAATAATTATTTTGTGAGGTTCATTAATTAATTTGCAAATGTTACTTGTGGTACTATGTTAGTATATATTTTCCGATGTTTCACCAGTTATAACTCGATGTTTCATGTGTGATATATAAATGTTTTAGTTAGGAATATAATCATATTATTTTTATCATCGGAAAAACAATCATGCGAGATCTTTTTTTAAAAAAAATGCAATGGTGCAATTGGATTACAAATTGGATAAATAATTTAGAAAATGTGATTTAAAGTTTTGCTAAAGATATGTACTATTAGTAGTTAGGTCATTCCCAGTGTAGGTTTAATTTTGTGATCTCCAAGAGTGTCACATAATCTAAAGATGTTTGGGTTGATGAATGAAACAAATGTCTCCAATGCACAATTTCATTTCATGGTTTCATATGCTATTCATAGCATTTGAAACTATTTGGTAATGATGGGGTTTCATTTATGTTTCCAAGGCATAGGATGAAATGATTCAGTCCCAATGGGGTTTCATGCTGTTTTCAAGACATAAGTAAGTGCGTAAACCAAGTTTCCTCTAGGTGAAACTCGTTCCTTCTGATCTCTCTTAATAAATTTTATAACATGTCAACAATTTAGCCTATCTGGCATTTCATTTAATGAGCTTGAAACTCTTATGAAACTTGCACTGGGAATGGCTTTAGAGAGAGGAATGGGTTGCATTTTAGCATGAAAGAGTAATGCATGCACATCTTGGGCAATGTCAAGATCTTGCCAGGAGCTTTGGTGATGAGGAACTAGGGTCCCAATCTTCTGATAGGTATTGATAAGTAGACTATAGAGACTTGACATTGATGATCCAAAGGCTCCAATCAGGATGATCGAACCCCTCGCAGTCACTATACCACTCCTGCGTTGGTTATCACTAGAGTCAAAACACGGTTGACCTCGCCGATAAGGCTATGTCTTGCAAGTGAATCGAGAACACAAGCAAAAGAGTAGAATATGCAATTTGAAAATATTACGAATATAAGATGAATCTCACTATGTTGGGGGTTCCATAAACCGAACTAGCGGCGAAAATGTAATGGTAGAATAATCTAAGCAAAATCCAACCCTAATTTGGTGATGGCTACTGAATAAATAGGTTGTAGGGTCAACCAAAGACCCCCGGACACGTGCCTATTAGACTCCAACGTCGGCACCGAAATTGGCATCGGCAACCAAACGTGAAAAAAATGCCATAGAAGATCTAAACTGATAACAACACCATGGCGTGCTAACGAGGTTCAGCAAACGCCTGTATCCCCAAGGTACTGATTACAAGTGTTTCTCTCTAATCTAGCATATTATAGCATATCAGGGTAGCCACCACCATAGACTGGCTTGGCAGCCGACCAATCACACTTGCCTATGCTACTATCACCATGCGGTTACAACAGATGTGCCTCTCTAATTAAGAGAGGGTGTAGAATAGAGTCTGACTCTAATTGTACTATATATGTATTAAAACTTCAAGTCCTAAACTGTAACCTGCAATATATACATTTTCGATACAAACTTTAATAGTGATTAGTACTACAATTAACAATGTACTTTGCATTTTCAACACACATAAATTGCAAATTATCTACCTTTGATTGTTGGCCCAACTGTACATCACATACCCCTCTACTCCCAATAATTTTGGCATAATTTTCACATTACTGTAACTAGGTAAAATCGCTAGGTCAAAATAGCGAGTTTCCTTAATCTTAATTAACATCTATCTCTTCTCTCTTCCCTCTGATTGTGGGCTCCAGGAACCCAGGCAGCTGGGATATGTTGGCACACTAGGGATTTTTTTTTTAGAAAATTGCTGTAAACTTTTAAGGATATATTGTTCCATTTTTTAAGTCACGTTACCACTTTGGATAAACCTGCCATCCTAGCAGCATGATCCGAAAAGCACTAGAGATTAAGGGGATTTGGACTACTGCCATCAAAATAGTGCAACAGCATACATAAGGAGGATCTCGCTATTTGCTTGGAAGTTGGAACCTAACTATAGGAGTCCTAAGTCTTAATCGCATGGAGTACTAAGAATACTTAGTGCCATAACTAGAATGCTAAAGCCCAGAAGATCAGGAGTAGACCCAGAATTAAAAGTAGAAGGGCACAACATGCCTAATTAAATAGCTAAAGCTAATAACTCGACTAGAACTAGATATGTAATCACAATCTACGAGTCATCATGATTGGGCATATGTTCGTCTTCTACTATTCCATGAGTCATATCGTGTCGATTTCGATAACATGTTTGTGGGAATTCTTCTGTCAAATTTTAGGATCCCATTATGCATTTCACACCAGGTCGTCCAATTCCTAGCTACGGCCCTGGCATCCACCATTTCCACTCCCATGCTAGCACCACTTCTTGTTACCACTGGCTCATTGCCTCCCTCCAGCCCTCTTCTTCTTCATTTGTTGTCGACACAATCTCTCCTCTTTCTCAACACCGGTAAGTTTCACAGCCCACCTCTGGTAGCCCACATCACCAAACCTACTGCCACCTCATAACCTCTTCGATATGTCTTCCCTACTGCCAATACAGACCCAACAACCTTTTCCTCTACTGCAGTTAATATGGTACCAACAAATTAAGCCCTTCCATGACCTAATCTGGCATACTTGTCAGAGTCATGTTATTAGCACCAGAGGAGACACCATTCACCCCACAACTTATCCCTCTTGGTCAACTGGGCTTAAAGTTGAAGATGACTCCTTGACCATTGGAGTGAGCATTCGATCTCAATTCAACAGATAGCAAGCAACCGACTGAGATTTCGAGTGAGTAGTAATGCTGATATATATTGTTTTAGTTTCACATGTAGTTCGCTCATATCAATTTGTGGATGGTGATGTGAAAGGTTCAGTATCTTGGTGGAATATCTCGTTCTCATGGGGCACACGCATCTATAGTTGGTATTCAATAGGTGGTATGTGACGCTATTTTCGCATTTTTTTTTATTTATGGGACAACTCATGACCATTCCTATAATAAAGAGAAAAACCAAGAAATACCATCGACGAAGCTAACTTCCTTCAAATGCCATTGTGCAAGCACCTTTATCCAAAAAGTACCATCACTGTTAGGTTTCCGTTAGCAACCCTATGTTAAGTGCTATAAAAAGACCATTTTACCCCTATGAATTGTTGAAAGTTGATTAAAACTTTTACACTTTCCGTCATCTTACACTAATTTGTAGGTTGCTCTTTAAACTAAATTATTGTAAACTGACGAAAAGAGCAAAAGTTTTAATCAGCTTTCAACAATTCATAGGTGTAAAATGGTTTTTTATAACACTTAACGGAGGGCTGCTAACAGAAACCTAATG